AAAAAAAAAAAAAAAAAGAATGCTTGATGCTCTTCCAGAGGATCAACATTCAATTCCCAGCATCCATTTCTGGCCACTCACAACCATCTGTAACTCCAGCTCTAAGGTACCAGAAACTCTCAACTGGCCTCCACGTCACCCTCACACACATGGCACAAATAGAAAACACACACAAAAACAAATACATAAATAAACAAACAAACAAACAATTTTAAGGGGAAAAATAAAGATGATTCTGCCAGGCGGTGGTGGCGCACGCCTTTAATCCCAGCACTTGGGAGACAGAGCCAGGTGGATCTCTGTGAGTTCGAGGCCAGCCTGGGCTACAGAGTGAGTTCCAGGAAAGGCACAAAGCTACACAGAGAAACCCTATCTCGAAAAACAACAACAACAAAAAAGATTCTGCTCTCCTGCCTCCACACCCAATTAAATTGCTTTAACTAACTTCATAAATGTGATTTTCTGATCTTTATTCGATGATTTTTAAAAGACCTCTGCCCTGAAGCACAGAAACCCAGGCTCAGGCTCCTGTCCAAACTGCTACATGATAAATGACTATACTATATCACGTTAAATATTAAAATTAGTTACGTGCCCAGCTCTCCAGCTGAGGTATTTACGCTTCTCTAACAACACCCGTCATGCCGTCTGTGTGACTGCACTAGTAGGCTTCAGATACTAAGGATATCAATTGTTTCTTTCTGAACACTAGGCTGCTCACTGTCTTGTAAAACCAGAGGATTGAATTCAAGGTGTTTTTCCCAAGGGTCCTAACAATTCCTCTCCAGGCTTCTCTGAAATGAGGGTTCCACTAATTCTCTCATTTGCCGTATGAAGGCTAAATGGCTCCTACTTCAAATTAATCCTTTTTCTCTTGAAGTGCATAGTGCTTTGATTGTTAAATAATTAAAGATTATAGTACTCAGAAATTTCACATCTAAAAGGTAAGTTTGCCAACCCTAAATTCATCAAGGGTGAGAGAAAATACGTAGATTTTTTTCTTCTCCTCCACTCCTCCTCCACAGTCCCTTTAACACAGTTTCTGTACAGATCGCGAGCTCAGATGCTGTGCACATGAAAATGCTGATGATGTTGAAACAATCCCATGGTGGCGGGTTCTGACTGATGGAAATAATTTTGCTGGGAACTGAAGCCATCTCCCGGGTTAGAGTCAGACAGGAGCGGCTCCTTGTTCTCTACTGCCATCTAGTGGCGCCATGGTCACACACATCGACGCAACGTGGTAGTTCTAAGCTGAGATTTTTAAATATTGCTATAAATCAAATGGATGAATCGTTTTATTCTTGCCATCATAGTAAAAGGAGATTTATAGAGTGTTTCAACAGATAAAATGTAATAAATGTTAATAAAAGTTAAGTATAACACAATGACAGACGTTAGCATTTAAACAGTACAAATGTGTGCAACTTAATCTCTTTATGATGTTCAGATGTAAACTTGAACACTGAAGGGAAAAAATGCAATGCACCCTAACGTGTGAAAAATGAAAGTTATCCTACTCCTCTGATCTTGTATCATGGTAAAGAATATTTTTTAAATAATGTAATCAGAGCTGAGAAAAAGCAACAACAGAACATTCTCCCAACTGTGGAGTGGGTACAGGCTGCTCAGCCTGTCTAACCATTTGTCTTCAATTAGACATGAGCTTTAGTCTCATTATTATTTATAAACGTAATACAGTGCTTAATGAGTGTTGAATAATATTTAGTTTTTAATGTCCCATAATCTGGAACTAACTTTAAACGGCATAATAGTGTGTTTAATTGTGTGAATCTAAAGTAAAAATAGATTTCTCTAATGAAAGAAATAAAAGCTTTCCAAACTAAGACTTTTTCCCCATTAAAGCTATTTTTCCTGAATAACAATTATGGGGGGGGGGGAATTCTCACATTTTAACATTATCCTAGTTCTCTATTTAAAGTGCCAACATTATTATCAAGTGCTTAGGGATTGCAAGCCAGAGATATTTAAAAGGAATGCCTGTGTCTTAATATACTTGTGAGCCAACTGAGAAATATCCTATTTTTTGTTCAGGGTGGGAAAATTCCTATACGGTGGACAGCCCCGGAAGCTATTGCCTACAGAAAATTCTCTTCAGCAAGTGATGCATGGAGCTATGGCATTGTCATGTGGGAGGTGATGTCCTACGGAGAGAGACCATACTGGGAAATGTCCAACCAGGATGTAAGTACACGGACAGGTCTGTCATTTTGTGTGTGCAAGCACATTACCTTTGAGTGGGAAAAATCTTCTTGTAATTCCCTTTCAGATTAACCCTTGTCTTGATGGCTGTTTCACAGGGGACTGGGGAGAGGGTGGGCTTGAGAATCTGAGAAACCTTTCACTGCAGTTGACTGGGCAAGCTGGGCTTTGTTTCATGCCTGATATGCATCTTCTCTGAGACACTCTCACTGTTCTAGGGCAGCAAGATTATGCTTGCCTACAGTTAAACAAAAGAAAGGGTAATGTTGACATTTCCTTTCTTGCACAGGGCAATACAGTGCACCACTGCAAAACCCATATCAGCCCAGGCCAGATAATACTTAGAAGAAGAGTGAATGCTTTCAGGGATGCACTATCAATAGATGTCATCTCTCAAGGTTCTTTTGAGATACATAATCTTTTGTCCAATCTCGAGCTCTCGGTCTCTCTCTTTTGGTTCTGTTTTATCTGTAGCAATTACGTTTGTGGTTGATAACATTACAGAACGGAATAGTTCATACACTCAGCCTCTATGATCTGCCCACAGTCATAGAGACAGTAATCAGAATTACAGCTATCCCAACAATGCAAGTGAGGGCAAGGTCAGAGCAGACAGTGTATTCTCTCACCACTGCCTCGTCTCAGAACCCAGCTTTGTCTTATTAGCTCACCTTCTTCAATGCCCCCTGATGGTTTCTAAAGCTAGCATGATGGGAAATGAGCACGGCTATGATTTTGACGGTCCACAGATGTAAAGATAGCTATGTGCCTGTAAATCATCCCTAAGCACACACACGGAGCATAACTACTGCAGTATCACATCCTTTCACTCCAGTTAAAAGCTGACAACTTCCTCACAAACCTCCACACCTCAGACTTTGCTAGTACATACTACAGATTGTTCATATTTCACAAGATTTGTTTTGTTTTGTTTGTTTGTTGAGACAGGGTCTCTCTATATAACTCTGGCTATCCTGGAACGCACTTTGTGTAGACCAGGCTAGCCTGGAACTCAAGAGATCAGCCTGCCTCTACCTCCTGAGTGCTGGGATTTTAGAGTCAGGCATAAGCTTGGTCAGATTTTGGCCACTGTTGATGCTTCTACTGATGTGGAGTGTTGCTTTCGCAACTGAGTCCTACTTCATTATGTGGATATCTACGGACTGACCATGGGTCATTCCAATACCAGATACCTATAAAGCAGCAAGGATAAGGTCACATGAGCTCCACAGTCATTGCTTTCCAAAGCACAGTATCAAACACAAAGTCAGAATAGCAGGGTCCCTCAGAACATCTGGAATATCTGCTCTTACATACAGTGTGTGCTGTGCCCACAACCCCTATGCCGTACCCAGCACTAGATCATTTTAGTGTCGTGTCATTTGGCTAGAATCCTCTATTCCCTGGAGGAGTTTTGTCTAATGTGTGCCTCACAGCTCTTCCTGTCACTCAGTCACTGAGCATCTGTGTGTGTGTGTGTGTGTGTGTGTGTGTGTGTGTGTGTGTGTGTGTGTGTGTTCCAGCACTTCCTGATGTTAAATTCCCAAACTGGAAATTTGTCTCTTCACTCCCAGAACTTCCACTGTACGCTATGGTTTTGTTTTATTTTTTAGCACTTATTTGTACTTCCTAAAAAACAGTTAGCAAAGGTCCTGCAAGGCCTAAGTTCAGTCACTCTAATACCTGCTTTATTCTAAACCTGAACATTGCCCCTGTTTGGACTAAAGTAAGCCGTCCAAGCAAATCCCCAGAGTCAAGTCCTCTTCAGTACCTCTCCTTGTCCAGGATCCCATGGTAATGAGTTGTTCATGCTTTTAGATTGTAGCCATAGTGAACTTTCAGAGCAGGTCGTGGCTGGGGAAAGCAAGGAATAACTGTGACTTCTCTGTTGGTTTGATGTTGTTCGTGCAACTTCCTTATGAAGTTGATGTTTTAACAGTTAGAAAAGAGACTGGAAACAAAATAAATAAGCAAAAAATATAATATGTGGCTTGACATTAATGGGAGTGAAACAAAAGAGGCAGATAAGAAACTCCAGACATGGATTTGATTTATTTATGAAACACTTTCATAAGTCATTCACTTCTGGCAATGAAAGTCATAATTAGTCTTTCTTATTAGACATTCAGAGGGAGCAATTCTAATAAAAGCCTGACCAAGAGAAAGGGCAATTTCCTGAGGTTCTCGATCCCTAGATTTTCTTTCCTCCTGGGACACGTTGCAGTCACAGACTTAGCAAGCATGACCGTGATGATATGGACTATGGCTCAATCATGAAAGCTACTTAAACCTTGAAAGTGCCTCAGTTTCATGACTAAATAAAATGATAAAGAAATAATTAGGTTCTTGTTTAATGTGCCTTCTAATAGCAAGAGGCTATGACTTTATCTCTGAAGAGACACGGATAGCACTTATTCTAGCAAAGAAAGATCTGTGCTCTTCCTTTGCTAGTATAGGGTTCTCCCTATCTGTGCAGAGGTACCAAAGCCTAGACAGGACTTTCATAGGGCAGATCAGGTACAAGCGAGGATGGCAGGCCACATGATAGATTGCTGAGGAGGACAGCTTCTGTGGGGAATGGCCCAAATGTACCATTTCAACTCAGACTACCAGGTAAATTGTTCTTAATTGTTGCCTAGAGTAGTCCAGACCCCGTCGTCAACCTCTCTCTGCCTGCATTGTGCCCAACAGTTCACCCAGCAGTTCTGGCCATCGATCTTGATGATCAGCATCCAAGATGACCATTTAGAGAGTGATTTCATCTATTAAGCCTCATTTGGCTGCCTGGACTCTATCTGGAACAGGAGAAGATTTTACCGCCAGGAATCACCTCCTGACACTGAGCCTGCTCACGTCTGTCCTCAGCATCAGCCTGAACTTTCCACCAAGTTCCAGAGCCAAAATAGGCTCTCAGTCACTGCAGTTTCACTGTCTCTCTGTGGGGGGCCAAAGAATACTCAAGGAAGATTCTGAGAACAGGGAGGGGGAAAGTGGGGGCTGGAGTTGGGGAGCCAAATCTTGAAGCCTTCGGATCAACACATTACTAGGCAATAGCAGAAATAGCTGAGATCTTTTATGTATCTCATGAATACCTTCCACTGCTGCAGGAATGGGAGCTGGAATTCTGTTTAGCTCAACATATTGGAAGTTAGCATGTCTGTGATGGATCCCGTAACCAGCATTTCCATTTAGAAGCAGAAATAGCTTAGTCAAAATTTCCTGACCTCTGCATAAATACTGACTGTTCCCTGTTTCTCCTGCAGTTCTCATTCGTTGAGTCAAGGTATAGGTTTACATTTGACCATTTCCATCCAAGGTGTTTTCTAAGAAAAGTGGTGAGACAGAGAATAAAAGTCCAACTATGTTCTGTTTCAATATTGTATATGCTTTCACTGCATTTTGGTGAGTTTAACAAAGCTGTGGGCACAGTTCAAATTGAACGTTACAATGTTTTAGGATTGTTAATGAGTTTAGGAAATTTCAGACAGTTTTTAGGAAATGGTTTTTCTATTCTGCAGACTATGGTGTATTTTATTACAATGAACAATTCCGAGTCTGCAGAATCTGTGTTAGTGAATAATATAATGAGTTTCCCAAAGGTCAGTGGAATTGTGCATTAGGGAAGGGAAATGAGAAGGGGGAAAAAAAGCAGAATGCACAGAACTATCCCATAAAAAAAAAAAAAACCTAACAAAATATAATAGCTGGTGCCAGATGCTGAGCTATTCAGCAAGTATTTATTAAACATGTGTCAATCACCGACCAGGTGTGCACTTGGGACAAGGATGAGGAACAGGGAAAATCAGTCCTCCACTGTGTTACATGAAATCAACAAGGAGCAGAAAGACAGATGAGGAACTCTCTCCCACAAAGGGAAGCTAAAGAAGATGATCATATAGCACTAATGATTGGTACTTAGACTCTAACAGTCCCTAAGAGGTGCCTGCGAGGAGATCAGGCCACAAGTACCAAGTACCCAAACACACCCAGGTCAGAGAAACAAGGGCTAGTGTTCTGTGTAGCACACCAAGGTAACTACAGGATACTACTAGTGATTATATATTTTGGGTTGGGAGGGGCATTGTTTTGTTTCATTTTGGTTGGTTGAGACGGGATTTCTCCCTATAGCCCAGTAGCTGTCCTAGAACTAGCTCTGTAGTCCAGGTTGGCCTCGAACTCAGAGATCTGTATGCCTCTGCCTCCCAAGGACTGGGACTAAAAGCATGTGCTATGGCACCTGACTTGATTACCTATTTTGTAAAGAACTAGATGTAAAGAAGTTTGAAGATTTCCAGAGCAGAGAAATGACAGATGGTTGCAGAAATGGAAAGGCTAATCATGCTGATTTATCATTATCCATTGTACACCTGTATGGAATTCTCCACTATATCCCATAAACACAAAAAAAGAATTAAGGAGACATATTTCTTACTAAGGGAATCCATTATTTTGGTGCAGAGATGAAGTTCTTATACTTTATAAGTCCTACACCCATGTCCAGTTAGAATGATACTCACCAAGAGCATATTCTGTGCTTTTTTTTAAATGTAATAAAACACTGTATGACTTCACTATAGCTATTTAAAATACACATACCAAGATAGCATGCAAACTCTGTTATAGAGGGTTATTCTAATGATTAATGAAAGGAACACAACACAAGCTAACTTGAACAAAAAGTTTGTTTTGTTTTGTTTAATCATGAAACAGCAGGTCAATTAGCACACTGGATCCAGGCATACAGGGCTTTAGTGTTGGCCTGGATTTCTAGATTTTTCTCTCTAATCACTACATTCTTTTCTGTCTCATACTCTGGGGCTCACGATTCCAGCCCAGCAAGACCAGTATAATAAGACCTTTCTCAAATTCGCAGGCCAATCTAATGTTAGAGAAGACTCTGGCTAGCTCTGTAACCCTGACTTAAAGCCCCATCAGAGAAGTGAATACTGTGATTAGCCATGCATGGTCTCTATGCCAGCCTT